GCCAGGCCTGGCTGGTGAGGGGTCTAACAGTGAACGTAGTAGGAGGCATCGCGTGAGGGGCATGTCAGATCTGAACCAAACAAGACGTGCTCTTTATGGTTTTGTTTTTTAAAGATAGCAGGTCATATTTGGTCCTCATTTGCTATAATTTCTGTTCTGGAACCTTTTCCTGGTGGGCAGGGTGTTGGGTTGAAATGTGCAGCCCGGCCTAAGGGTGACTCCAGCAAGCGGGCTGGCTGCAGCGCGGCCTCGGAAGCAGCAACTCGGTGGCCAGCGAGGGCCTCAGAGGAGCCTGCAGAGCAAACTGACCGCAGAAGCTCCACGAATGGGCCTGGTCCATGGCACGGTGGGCAGTTAATCACTGCCGAGGGTCAGGGCAGTGCAAAATGCTGCGTTGTGAGGCAGAAGTAGCCGGGCGCAGAAGGAGAGCTGGGTTGAGGGGCCGTGTGTGCTGGGCACGCACGCACGGTGCCTCCGGCTCACGCAGAAGGGCCAGGGAAGGGAAGAAAGCTGTGGTAGAGCCCAGGATTTCTGCCCCCTGCAGCCTTGGGACATTAAAATAGCCCCACCGTGTGACAGCGGAATAAAACGGAGTTGGGTTGTGGTGAGGAGGAAGCTGGAGCCTGTGGGTGACACTGCACCTACCCTGAGCCGAGTGATGTGCGGGCTCTGCTTTGCCAAGTGAGGTTTTGCAAGGCCAGGGGAGGCCCTGGGGAAATGATGTTGTGCTGTGTGCAGGACTGCAGTGCGTGTGGTGTTGGCGTGCCTTGCAAAAAGGGTGGCTGCTGGTGCATGCTGCGGTGCTGTTCACAACTGCTTTGAAGTAGAACTGCAGCCGGCATCTGTGTGACAGTCCCGACTGCTTCACTGGCAAGAACTTCCCTAGGAGCCATTCAGGCATGTGGAGGAAGGGGAGATTTTTAACCACTGAGCGTGGCTGTCAATTCCCTTACACGTTTAAAGAGAGGCTGCCCACAAGCTTGATAGTTAGAGCAGTAACCAGTGAAGTTGGAGCAAAGCAGTTCTGAACTTCTATGAAGTGTGGGGTAGGCGCTTCACTCACCTGCTGTTTTTTTCCTTTTCCAACAGATGGTTCCATCAAGGCCCCAATCCCTACACGGGTACACAGGACTGGCTTTATTCTGGCAACTACTGGGACAGAAACTACTTTAACTTGCCTGATATTTATTAAAATGCAATAAGGAACCTGTGGCTGATAAACATAAGTCTTAATCTATTTTAATGTTTTCCCTTGTTTTACTTATCTCCTGAAACAAATGACAAGTTATCCAACAGACTCGAAAGCATCTCCCCAGTACAGCTGGTGGTCCATGAACTGCAGTCCCTTACGGAGGGGAACCTATTTCTGGCTGATGGTGGGTCCTGCATGGACAAAACTGATACGTGGCCACAGTATAGTGCTGCCCTGTTTGCTGAATACACCTATATTAGGTTGTGGTGTATGCGGAATAGAGCACCTGGAGCTGTTCTGTGAATACTTTCTTTCATAGGTAACACTGGCACAAGTGAAACTGGTTTTATTTATTGTGATACGGAATGTATGTTTGGAAGCACACACAGCAATGGGAATATTCTGTGCTTAAAGCAGAAAGGTGCGTCACTTTTGTAAAGATGTAAGTTTTCATAAAGTGACTTTTATTAAAGCAACTACCTGAGCTCCACTCAGAGGGATTCCAGAAGTTCCCATCTCTGGACCATGTGCGCAGTTGTTGGAGCTGGTGACTTGACTTGGAGGTTGATTCCATGTTTTGTGCAGTGCGTTCTCAGTTTCGCTCTCCTGTTTTGTTACCAGCCTAATGGCTGTCTGGAATTAAGAGCCATGTGAATACCCACCTGCGTGATAGGAACTGCACACTACAAGCCACAGGTTTCTAAGGAATCTGTGTAGCACTAGCAGCCCCGGTGCCCAGCACAGCTGCGAAGAGCGGGATGAGCGGAGCCGGGGCAGGACGCCCGGAGCAGCTCCCGGAGCCAGGCTGCTCCCCCCGGCCTCCTGCCCGGGCTCGGCTGCTCTGCCCCCTTCCAGGCTGCACTCCGTGCGGGAGGGGGTTTATACAGAGCTGTGTACAGAGCTTCTCGAGGGCCAGCTGCTCCTTGTATGATATTTTAACTGCTGTCTGGAGGTTAGTGTTAATTGAGTAATTTAATTGCTATTAAATAAAGGCTTCAAAACTTCTTGCATGGAGTGTAAAGTGGTTGTTGGGTGGTGCTGACCCCCAAAGCAGCTGCAGCAACGTTTTACAGCTCTACTTGCACTCAGGGCCCTCCTGCTCCCCATGCGGGAACTGGCTGTTGCCTGGGAAGGTGAGAGGCAAATGGTGCCTTTCTCACATGCCCCAGGACAGCACCTTGACCATAGAGGGGCGAAGCTAGTGATAAGGCAAGGAGCTACTTCCTCTCTTTATCCCCTGCTTTGCTGGAGTTACCTGAGCCCTGGCCTCTTTAAGTGATCATAGTATCATTCTGAAATCCCTTAAGTCAGAAGATTACTGTCCTAACCCCTTCCATGAAGCATAGCCTCAAAAGTGTCCTCCCTGACAGGCCTAATCACATGTCCCAGTACTTCCCTCCCCCCATTTGAAACGTGACTCTCTCCCTGCTTCCCAAGCTTGGGCTCCTCCCTAGAGCATAACCCAGCAGCAGAGACTGCCTCTCCTTCCACTGCACTAATTTGGCTGCGAGTGGCTGGGTGGCCTCTTAATCGTGCAGCAGGATGGGACATGCGAGGGTAGTGCCGGGCAGCGGGACAGCTGCAGCAGGGACCTGCTCCTAGCGCCCTCCCAGGAAACCCAAGGCACCACAGCAGCCGTGGGATTGTGTTCCGATTGCTGGCATTTAATTTTGAGCACTTGCTTTAAGTTATTTGATATTTTTAAGATGTAAATTCCACTCCTGATGAAGTCCAAACAGCCTCTCTTCTCAACCTGTTGGAGAAAGAGCGTGCAGTCAGCAGGTAATACATGTTAATGATTACATTTTAGAACATGTTATTTAAATGACGAGCCTGAACTTTGAAGCTGTTGTGCAGGGAGGTTCAGGTGGAGTCGCAAAAGGGAGCTCGCACCTTGCACTCAGACTGATGCTAGAGCAGGATGGCACCACCAGCTGCGAGGTGCAATGGAGCAGGGGGTTCAGTATCACAAATACTTCAGCCCCTGGCCTTAAAACCTCCTTTTTAGAAACCAGGTCAAGTGCAGCACATGCAGAGCCTGGACCCTGCCAGGGCAGGAGGCAGCCCCCAAACTTACCTCCTCATGACCCTGCCTGGTGCACTGAGCTCGAGGTGACCGTGATCTGTCCCGCAATGCCATAGCTCCCCGCAAAGGCGGGCCCGGCTGCTGCCTTATCAGCCGCAGGGGCGCCCTTCCTTGCGGACACAACGTCATCCAGAGGGATGGCAACCGAGAGGTAAAGCGGCGTGGGCGGCCTCGCCACCTCTTGCGTGGCACCAGCCCCGGCCCCGGGCGCCGCCGCCGCCTGCTGCTCAGCCGGCCTGGCAACCGGCACTGGGATTGTCGTGAACCGCCTGGCGCCGGTGTCCGGCTGTGCCAGCACGGCCGGGCCAGGAACAGGATTCCAGTCCTGGGAGCTCTGCACGGTGGAGCCCACTAAAATGAAAGGTGGAGCGTTGCCCCTCTTGCTCTCTTCCGGCATCACATAAGCTGGAGAGGACAGTTGTGGTGGTGGAGCTTGTAGTGGCACTGGCTGCAGGAACTGCTGTTGGGGATAAGCAAGGCCAGTCCCAGGAGGAGGAGGAAGGGATGGCGGTGATTTTTGACCTTGGCTCAAGTCAGTTAGGCAATAGAGGGTCCACACATTAGAATGGGGTGGTGGCTGTCCCGCTTCGCTGGCTGCCATGGCTACAAAGATAAAAATGCAAGAGGGCTGGTGTCAGGAGCAGAGCATTGCAGTCGGCGCTAAGCCTTACGTCTACCCCACACCTACCAGTGCCAGCGCGGTGCAGGGGAGAGCTGGGCATTCAGCACAGCTTGGCAGCCCAGCAAAGCGAGCACCTTCAGGGCAGGTTTGGCCTTTGAGAACTGCCCGAGCTGACTGGTGTCTCTGAAATTGTGCTTTTTGTCCAACTCCTCCAAAGGAGGGGCTTGTTTTTAAGAGCCAAGGCTGCTCAAGTTTGCCCCATGCAGCTCTCTCCTGCAACGCGCTTAGGTGGCACTCTCCCTTCTGTGGGCCCAGAACTACCAAGGAGACTCGCGGGGGAGCTCCACCCTGCAGCGTTTTTCCAGCTGGGCAAGGAATGAGCTGGGCAGACATCCCCAAAGGGAAGCCATTCGGGGCAGGTGCTCACACAGCGCCGATACAGCCACGAGAAGGGACCAGGCAGGTGGCAGGAAACGCCTGCTGCTTGCTGCCCACCATGCCTGGCCACCCAGCCCAGCTGCAGAAACGGCCAACCCAACGAGACAGCGCAGGCAGGCAACCACCACCACGTCTAAATGGAAAAGCCCCCGTGGTCGTGCAGGACACAGAGCCTTTCAAGGGGGGGAGATGCACAGCCAGGGCTCCCATCGCTCACCTCGCCATAGCCCCAGGGCACACATGCTACACCCTCATCTCTGACAGCTGCTCCAGGGCACGGGGCTGGCTCCGAGCAGGTCCCCTGTGTGTTCAAGGGCACTTTCCCATCACTCGCATCTGCAGGAGCTCTGGGAGCCCTGCTCAGAGCCAGCCACATCCCTTGGAACAGATGGCAGAGGGATCTAACACGTGTGCATTGGGACCAGGCAGCCGGCGTGGGCCCAGGTGGGTTTTTAACAAGTCACCTCCACCCTTTGCTGCATTAACATGGGGACTTTTCCATTTAAGGACCTCTGACAAGACCTTAGGGCTCTATGAGGAGGCTGTGAGAAAGACCCAGACTTTCTTACCTGACATGGCATTACCTTGTTCAGCAGATGCCATTTGTGCTGTGGGTTCCGTTTTCTCACTGTCACACACTACGTCATCGGCAGATGGACCTAAGATTTTAGCACGTGAGAACTGGCCTGCATTTACTAGCAGCTCAATCTTTACCAGATAAGCTATTTGGCCTAGAGAGAGGATGAGTGTTTCCTGTGGAGAGCGCTCTGGGTGAGGTGGAACCTCCGCGTCCCAAACGAGTTGGTCCGCACGACGCACGGACACCACCTCAGCGGCTAAGGTAACCCCAGCTTCGTTGGGGGGAGGCAGGGCCTGCAACGGAACGCGAGGCGGCGGCGCTGGTGGTGGAGCAGGAGGTGGTGGTGATGGTTCTTCCTGCAAGGGGGCTGAGGAAACTCGGTTTGCATCGTTTGTTGCGACTTCAGCCTGGCTGTCTGAGGGACCTACTTCTCCCGCCTCGGCCGGCTGCCGTGGCTCGCCCGCTTGTGCCCTAACGGCCTCTGCAGCCCCCTCCGCTGCCGGGGCAGCGGCATCATCTTCAGCAGCACCCGCTACTACCGCAATTACGTTCTCTGAGCTCAGAGAGACTTCGGGCAGAGTCTGCACGCTTGTTGCCACATCCTTCACAGAATAAACATAATCAGCATTACCTAGCATCTGGGTAGCAAGCTGGGCAGGGTCAGCGGGCACGTATGCGAGTTCCGGTGCCTTGGGGGATGAAGCTTCGTCAGGTCCGGTGGGAGATTTGTTTCCTACAACGTCGTCATGAGTCGATGGGTATTGAGTCATCTTGGAGGTGCATTCAGTGTCAGGGCTCTGAAGGAGCTGGTCCTCCTCTGTGTCAGTGCACTTCTCCTTTTGCTTGGGCTCCCCGAGAACTGAAGCGTCTTGTGCATTCAGGCTTTGAGGCAGCCTCTCATTCCAGCCTTCTGCAAGGGACAAGCAAACAATGACAAGTTTTAATGGCGCTGCCTGCTCAGGGCAAGCGAGCGTCACCCCAGAGGGTGGCCTGTGCCCCGAGCAGCGCCCAGGCTTCCCGCGCCCGCCTCCACCGCCCGCACCTCTAAAACACCTTCAGGAAACGGCTGCCTTACCAATAACAAAACGAAATTCTTCAACCAGCTCCGTTAAATCCAGATCGGGATTCCCTGAAAGCAGAAGAACAAGTGAGGCCGGGGCTGGCAAGGGCTCGGGTGCCGCTCAGCCCCCAAAGCCATCCCAAGAGACACCGACCTTCGCGGAAGGCGACAAGCTCCTGGAAGTAGAGCGCCGCAAAGCCAGGGATGTTGTTGGGGTTGGCGCTGAAGGCAGCTCTGCTCAACCCCCCCAGCAGGGTCTTGAGGCCGTAGGGAGCCATGAACCTGGCCCTTGAGGAATGCATCGTCCTCCACTGAAGTCAGATTAGGGTTTCTCAACTGCAATGACAGTAACAACACAGACACGTCAGCGGGGCGCCCAGGCTGAGCCCGGGGCAGGACAGGGCGCGCGGAGCCGGGGCAGGGGCGTCCCCTTCCCTCCTTCCCTCCTTCCCTCCTTCCCTCCTTCCCTCCTTCCCTCCTTCCCTCCTTCCCTCCTTCCCTCCTTCCCTCCTTCCCTCCTTCCCTCCTTCCCGCCTCACCTCCGCCTCGCCCCTTG